GAGAAAATTGCCAGGCTATGATCAAGATATTTCTCATGCGACTCCAATCACTAAATAGATGTGAAGGTCAGGGGGTTGTTTTCCCCCCTCCTCCTCTTCGTGAAACCTATTTTGATACAGATCAATATCTGTGAAGATTGAAGGAGAAAACAAGCTTTGGAAAGCAAACTTCCACTCTTTGGAAGCAGTGCAGGAATGCTGCTCCACTGCAGTGTGTTATTAGGAAACAAAGTTATCATTGCAGGCCAGGGTTGACTTCCCTTCTAAAGGCATCTCTTCCCTTTCGGAAACTCATTTCTTCTCACTATAGCAAGAGGGTGAGTGGTGAATAAAGCTCAGCACCTGGCACATCCAATTCACACATTTCAAAGGGATTTTCTCCTTGCACAGTGCAGGACTGTGCTTCCACTCCTCCCCAGCTGGATTAGGCTGCCTTCTGATTACTGGAAATCTTGGAAGTGAAGGGAATGGGAGAAGTTCTTGCTTTTCTTTTCCTTCAGTAAGTCTCCTGTCTTATAGAGAACACAGTGAAGAGCCTGTTCAAGATTTACTCTTCGAAAGCCACCACACAGCAGATGAAATTCCCAGACTCTGCTCGCAATCCAGCTCTTTTTATCTCCCTTCTTTGCACCAGGCAGTGCTCAGAGCCTCCTCATGTACCTGTGCTGTTCCCAGGCCCCAGCACAAGCTCATGGAACGCTCTGCAGCTGGAGGAGTCTGCCTAAGGAAAACATGTTTGGTGCAGGTATCCTTCTCCTCTTGGCAAGCCCCCGGCCCATCATAGCTGCTTCTTTGATATTTCAAATAAAGCAATTTTGTACCCACTTGGTACCTTAGAAGCACGCAGAAAATTGATCCATAAAAAAAAAAAATGCTTCAGTTCTTTTCTAAGCTGTCCCATTCCTCTCTCAAACACCACATCGATACCCATCACACAGCATCTCTCTCAAAGACTATCTCCAGCCATTCCAACCCTCTCTTCATTAGGAAGAAAGGAAGTAAATAAGCTCTCAAGCAGCCCCGGCAGCTCCTGCCCTGCGGTGGGAGATGAATTGCATCGTTGCCTTTTATGACTAATGCACAGTAATCACATGAAGACTTTACAAAGTGCCATACATCTTCAAAGAGCTTCATATCCATTAGCTAAATAGCACTGCTCAGTGCAAGCAAGCAATAATGCAAGATAGGGGTAACAGTGCAGTTCAGGGGGAGGAAAACAGACAACTGAAGCTATGAGGGAGTTTCATTTCCTTTTCCCAGCACTGCATCAAATTCTTGCGTACGTATAAAATGAGAACAGCCCCCGTTCTTTGCGGCAGCACAAGTGGGAGCAGACAGGACCAGTTCACCACCAGCACAGCGATAAATGAGAGCAGCCACGAGCTGCCGGCTCTGCAAACGAAGCTCCGGCACCCTCTGCTGGGAGCGGCCCGTGGGTGCACAGACTGCCCGTCCGCTGGAGGTTCATGGAAAAGCACTTATTATACCACGGCAATACACCCCAATTTGCCACGGAATTCACATCTGTGAGGCTGAGGGCAGCGGCTTCCGAGTCCCGCAGCAAAACCAAGCACGGCGTTCACCTGGGGGTGAGGATACAGGACTGCATCTGCCTGCTGCCTTCCCTGCAAAGCACTGAGAAGGGAGCTTTGAATAACGCTTCCAATACTACCAAGAAGTCACGGCGTGAAATAGAAATGCTATTCCTCTCCAGCTTTCCCCCTCAGCTTGAAAGGCAAGAGGCCAAAGAATGCTGGTAGCCTTGGGTGGTTTCCCACCCCTTCGGTTACAAGACAGCATTTTGCCTCGTGCAGGAAACCACTCTGCATGGATGTTTTTAATATTTGCCCAGAACGCTGTTACAGCTCTGCAAAACAACACAGAAGCTGGGAGACCTCTTAGATCTGGGCACGATCCCCGACTTCCCCCATACAGACATTTAGGGGACAGAGCAGTGCAGCTTCAAGTCGTGTGCAGCTAAAAGGTGCTTCCCCGGGAATCCCTGCCGATTCAAGTGCGTTTGACCAGTTAGCACTTAATTACCATTACTGAGCAGTGGTCAGCGAGTCTCCGGACTCCGAGGGACCCAGAAACTCAGCGGGAAAAGACAGCAAATTATTCCGCTCCCAATTAGGCGAGAAGCTCCACTGCTTAACCCGAGCAAACCGGATGGATTCCCCGAGGAAATCCACACTGTCCGCTCACCGCAGAGCACTAATATAATATTTTTTTTTCCGGCTGTTAAAATAAACAAGCAAAGAGCCTCATTAGCGACACTTCATCACGTTGTCAGCCCATGGAAGCTGAGAGGCTCCGCTCCAGCAGCAGGACGGGAGCACGGCGCTGCAGTGGGCTCGTTCTGCCATCTAGGGTCCGCATAGGGCACGGAAACTCCAGCGTAAGTTAATGCAGGTGGGCTTCAAGCAGTGCTGCTGCTTGACCTGCCGGCATCAGCTCCATCGGGACAGGAGCTATTTCATCTGAGGCAGCTTTTTATCTGCTCTCTCTATGCTTTCCCCCCAAGAACAACTTACCTCCGTGTGCTCGCTCTGACAAAGCCCCATTTGTACATGGCAGGGAGCTGGGGCTGCTCCACCGAGCCTTAGTGGATGCTGCTAATTGTTTAATGCCTTTTAATTAAAGCTGCCCTAATTGATTTATATTCACCGACTCCTTCATGCTCTGATTTTAGTGCAAGCTTCAGCTGAGTCAGAAAAAAAAAAAAATAATCACCATTCAGTGCATTTAACATTTGACTTCTAAAGAAGAAATCAAGACTTGAGATGTAGGAACTGTGTTTGTGCCTCAGTAGGGACAGCCAGCCCACAAAATATTGCTTTTGTGATGAAAAATGCAATTGAAGAGAAACCTGAGAATATAAAACAAGTGCCAACAGGAGACTCACTGCAGTGCTGTGGGAGTGGGGCACAGAGGAAGTGGAAATATTCCTTCTCAGCTGTGGCACTGAACAGTGGGGGTGAGGAAGTGTGTCAGTGCAGGCTTTTATTCACTGCAACATCAGGAGAGGTGTGATTAAGGAGCCTGCACCCGGCCTTCTGTGCAGAATGGGGCTGACTCAGCTGACAGATCCGAAGGGGGAAGAGATGGGGCACTGCTTGTTTTCTTTAACATCAAAATTTGTGGATTTGAAATACAACCTTGCTGGTTTTCAGTTGCAGCCTCCTGTTTGGAAACTATCAAGGGCAAGGAGAGAAAAAATTACTTGTGTTTTGTGTGAAAAATCACATGTTCTGTTATCTCCTGAATCTCTTTTTCATGCCAAGTTACATTATCTTTTAAAATGTGTCCCTTGTGCTCTTCCTAATGCTATGGTGTCTGTCTTTCTGTTTAGCTATGCATTATTAACTTGCTTATAGTACAGTGCAGGTAAAAGAAAACAGCAACTGTCTTTGCTCAGAAGGTTTCTCTTTCCGGAGAGACACTTTATCTCCAAAACCAACATTACATTATTATTGATGGCAAAGGAGATTGCTGCCAAGAAGTCAATAGAGGGAAGCTGTGCTCTGGAGCAGCAGTGGAGCAGCATTAAAGGGATGAGGAACTTCATTCATGGCTCTGCTGCTGAGTTATTGCACAGTTTTGGAGAGGAAAATGGAGTCCATTAGTAGTACTACTGTTTCTGCCTGGGCTGGAAAATGAAGTGCTGGACTCAAGTGCGTCAGTAGGATCAGAGCCTGGAGCTGCTCCTTGGGCAGAGAAACTGCAGGTGTCTTCAGCTGCCTGCCCAAAATTAGAACTGACATCTTACATCGAGTGCTTGTGAAGACTTGTGCTTACCCAGTGAGCAAGGAGGAAATCTGTCTTTAATTGTCAAGGACAGCGTACAGTTTGATTAGTCAGTGAATGAGGCACTGAGATACCGGCATTGGGATTGGTAGAAACAGAGCTGGAGTTTATGGCATTGAGCTCATCCTGCAGAGGTTCACACCCTGTCACTACATATACATCTCCAACCCCAAATAATCATGCTTCATTAGGAAAACAGCTTTTACTTAACTTCCTAAAACAGCTGCTTTTGGAGTCAGTGGGCTGTAAAGCCACGTAGGTGTGCTGCTGGGCTACCTCAGTGCCTTTGTGTTTTTGGAGCTGTGAGAAAACTGTGCACGTGTGTTCATACAACTGCCAGAATGACTGCAGTCCTGTTTATCTCACCAGCAAAAAACATAATGAGGTAAAATATAACGATGTTATTTAAGTACACCTTAATCTGCCACATCCATTCTGAGAAAGGCTCACACCTGGGCTCCTGTAATAGCTTCAGGGAGGACTGGCACTGCTGGAGGCTCACAGCCAACTCATCTGCTGTGCCCAAAATGAGCCACTCCTCCTGCTGAGCTCGTGTCACAGCCTTGTCCCATGATGCTTTCTAAAATCCAAGGACTCAATTCTCACTGTTTATCTCTTTGGAAAAACCATCCGTGTGGAGGGATGGGTTTTGCTTTTCCCTTTTTTCTTGCAACATGAAACTGCTGTTTCATCGCTCAGCCTTGCTATGGAAAATAGCATCAGTCCATTCACTTTAATCCTCGAGAGTGCTCTCCAAAATCCAGCGTGTGCTTTCTTAATTTAGGACCGACGCCTGGTAAGCAAGATAACATGTGGGACAGATAAAGGTGCAGTTCCTTGGCTCTGAGCCTGCTTTGATGACACCAGCCTCTATGTGAGCACGGTGATAAGAAGCTGGCATGGGGGCAAACAGCTGCAGGAACCATCCTTTATCTGTTAGGACGTGGCTGATGCCAGACCATAAGAAAATCAATATATTCCAAGGACTCCAAATGGATGCTGTCCTTGCAGCTAAGGGCTCTTGAGATTTCTGAGCTTGAGTTGAGATATCAGAAAGAAGTTAGAAAGCAGAGAAGGAGGAGTGAAGGTTTGACGCCAGGCCCCCCAAGCCACCACCTCACACCTCCTCAGAACATCCCATATTAAGCACTAAGAAATCATCAGAAACAAAGAAACAAAGTACACACAAGAAGTGCAAAGAAAAATAAATGTGTATTTCATCTCATGAAGGTTAAATCTCTGGTAATTTTACTGAATGCAAATTTTCCATTCTGATGCTTCGAGGCTTAAATTAATGAGTGTGATTATTTAATTTTCCTCCATTTCCCTTCTGATTGCAACCATCGCTGCTGATTCTAATATCACACGTAGACAGTTTTGCAGCTGTCACAGTCATCCCTGTGAAGGTACACCCTGTGTCATGCTCAATGCTAAAAGCCTGGGCTACGTTGCTCTTCTGCAGTGCTAATGTGAAACCATCTGTGTCTGTGTCATTCTGCTCCTTAGAAAACTACAGGTTGTTCCCTTGGCACCCGTCCCTAGAAAATGTACATTGCACAAAGTCATGGTGGAAATGTACAGTGGAAATTACACATTCACCAAAAAAAAAGTCCGATTGCTATATTACAAGAGAAAGTGTGTACCATTCAATTACATACAAAACGTTCCAAAGTTGTACAGAAGTACCAAAGGCATTATGAGAGATTCTTTGGAGATGAAACAAAAGTGCAAAAAAGCCAAGGCAACAGAGCAAATGAAAGGAAGCAAAGCAGCAGCTGCCTTTGCTTTCTAAAGGACAACCAGACTTCAGTGCTCAGTGGAGCCTGAGATTTTGATGAGCATCAGGGCATGCAGCACCTTCTCTCTGCAGTGTGAGAGCAGCCCATACCAGCACGAAGTTCACCTCTCTCCTCATCCTCAGGACAAGTGCACGAACCATTTCTGGCCCTGTTAAGGCCAAAGGAGCCAGATCCTGCTGTAAACTGTGATAGCTATGGTGACACGTTCCAGCAGTGAGCGCTCCTTTGGTGTGGTACCTTTAAATGGCTCTTACAACTGATAATTTCAGAATTAGGGGTGAATTGCAGGCTCAAGTAAAAATTTAGTTACAGTTTTTTAATGGCATCTAGCAACATTTAGCTGGAAAGGTTAGCTCTTCATACTACATTGAACACTGAAGAATAATTTCTATCCGATCTCTTATCTGTGAAATTATGGGCAAAATTAAATCCTGTAGGGGAAATTGTTTAAGGTCATTGAAATCTCAGTATAGGGAAAGTTAAGAGACTTAATTTTAGATAGGAATGCTATTAAAATAGTCTCTTATTTTGGTTTTACCTACTCTCCTGCCACTAAAGAAAGAATTTCCTTTTTCCCCGTGTATCTCAGATGCAAATGTTTCTGCCTTAAAGCTTAGATGTGCATGTGTCTGCATACACACATGTACAGCAAGATGTGCATGTATGCAAACAACACACACCAGCTGCAGCCAAAGTCGTGTTGTCCTTTTACCTTGCAGGTCATGGCAGACTGTGAACCTCATTCAACCTGTACAGAATTTACAGTTCAGATGAACAGCAGTGAAGAATACATAGAAATACAGCAGTGAAGTGTTCTAGAGCTGTTTGATTGGTTTCGTTCCGCTGTCTTTAAGTAACATTGCAGAAACAATCTCCCTTCGTTTGGTTTCCTGGTAAAATCTGGTTAAAGCAGCATTGGAATGCGGTGTATTTCCTAACAAAACAAGAACTTTGCTTTCCCCTTGTCCCACTTAGGTTGAGTCACACCACTAACCAGACAGGTAATGCTTTGTCTGGCCGACTACTGTTAAGGACAGCTATCAGCCAAGTGCATGTAATGTGCAATCTGTGTGCAGTACCTGTGGATACTGCGTCAAATTGACACGAAGCAAGATAAATTTCATACATACAATGGCTATACTGGAGAAGGAGTACAGTTTTAGCTTATGGGGCATTGCTGTGGAAGAGCAGTAGCACCCACCTATACAGATTACTGATAAAAGAATAAAACATTTATGAGAATAACTTATTGAATCTCCTAAAGCATTTGATATACCACGCAGCAACTGTAATTATGCTTAAAATCTGCTCTTGATTTAAAATAACAAAATCCCTGTAATTATCAGCTGTACCTTGTTTTGCCCCCAGCATCCTGAAAGTCTCAGGTTTTCTATGCAGGTGTCATTTTTTGGGGAGAGAAAAAAAGTAATCTTAATTTGAATTTTAGGGTTTGGAGTCAAGTAGTGGGGAAGAGTAACCAACACAGAATGGCCCATGTCCCACCCACAGACAAGAGCAGCTTCAGCTCTAGGGGAGATGCTGGACCAGCGTGGGTAGGACAGAAGAGATCTGTCACCAGCACTGATGAGTTTTCCATCAGCAAGAACTGAACTCAGTGTTTACAAAGATGCTAGAAGAATGAATCCTCTATACTCACATGTGTAATAAATCCCTTTCAGGAGTACCACTGTGCATGTGAAATACTGGGTGATGCTCACTGTGATGATCAGATTCAAGAGGTTACAGTGAAACGTCACTTCTGTCTTCATGGGAGGTGCTCACAGCATGCTGAAATACAGAGGCATTGTCTCATCTTGGCTTGCAAGGTTTGTGCCAAGCTTTCCTTGTGCAAAGTGGGAAGGAGGGAGTGATTCCTCAGGTTCGTGCTCAGCAGTATCACGTGGAGCTGAAATCCCAGGGCAGGCTTCACCAGCAGCAAGACATTCAGCCTTGGTTTTGGGCCAGAACCATCCCAACTGGAGAGCTTAGCATGGCTTCTACCTGAAATCACTAACCCTGCCCTAGAATTATAGGCGTAGCTGCAGGTGAAATCTAGCCCAAGCTTGGCACTGAGTTTTGGAAAACTTTGTAGCTGCAGTTAGCTCAAGTTTCTCAGGACTAGGCAAACAGATGCTGCTTGAACAATTCATCTGAGGCTGTATTTGCAGAAATGAGGGGAGAGGAAGAAGCTTCAAGCTTCCCCAGCAGCTTTGGAAATAGCACAGCTTGGACTAGCTGCTTTCAAAGTCTCCCTGTTACCAAGCTGGAGGCTGGCATGCAAAGCCACATATGCACACTGCTGAAGGGGGCTGGGGAAAGCAGCTCTTGCTTCAGGGAGCAAAAGCATCAACACTGTTGGAGTCTGTGAGCTCTTCTCTGAGACCTTCAATTTGGTACAAAAATCAGACCTCAACCCCCATCCCTATTTCCCTGCAGTCAGCTCTAAACAAGGGGACAAACCCTCACAGTGTGCTGCATGAATGGGCAAAGCAGCTCCTGCCCATCCATCCTTGCACTGGAGGCTCCAGTAGAACAAATCACGGATGTGCTGAGGCCATGGAAGCTCAACAAGGAAGCAAATAAACAACCAAGAAAAAGCAAAACTGTCATGCTAACAGGACATAAAGGCTCTTTAGGGCATCTAGAGATGCCAGGCCAAAAGAAAGTCTCAGAGCAGAGTTCTGGCACTGCACATTCACTTGTATGCGGTCTGGACAAGGAATGCAAAGACACAGTGGCAAACTTGATTGCAGCAGCATCACAAGCGATACAAGACACTTCAAACACCAGCAATGTGGGCAAATCCAGAAGGCCTTGTGAGTCTGCTATCGTGGCGGGTGATAGCAGTGGCAAAACGTTTATGGCGATATGAAGGCAGCTCAGTGCCCCTCCAAAGGAGGGTAAGAAATGCTTATGTTAAATATCAGTATGGCACAGCTGCAGGGTTCCCAGGATCCCTAAATGCTGTCAATGAAATCCCCAAGGAGGGTTTCCAAAGTCTGGGAGTTGTATTCTCCCCTGCCCCTTGGGCTTGGCTGCAGGCACAATGCACGTGTACACCAGAGAGCCTTATGGGAATGAGAAATATGGCAAGTCCCACATATGTGGGATCAAATAGCATCTCTTAAATGAAGGTCAGGGCTCTGCCCTTGGCAGAGCCTGCCCTGCTCTGTCTGCTCCTCCATGCTCTTGGGAAGAGCTATCAGGGATGCTCTTCTTCAGAGGCATCTGGGTGGAAAGGAGCTTGTTATGCACAGCCAATAAAATCCACATATTTTCCCTTATTTTCTCCTCATACACACATTTCAATGGCCCACAGGTTACAAACGCGTGTTTTTTATCCCTTATTAACAAGTAGTATTAACAAGTGGTGTTTGTGCATGCTGTATCGGAGGGATGAGGCAATGATCAGTCGCAGCATGAAAGACACTTGGTATATCAGTGTTACCTACAGAAGCACCGCAGCACCCTACGTGATGGGTCTCTGGGAGGATGGCCTCTCCCCAGAAAGATACTTTTAGCTACGTCACCCCTCTCCAGGTACTACAGCAATCTGGGAGTGCAGATACAGCTGGAGCGTATTGCTGTCTACTCATCTCAGGCTGCATGCAGTAGCAGGCAAAATTGAGACTACAGTCAGTGAGATAGGCTGGAAAGCACATTCATACATTAAAAAGGACCCGGCTGCTCCTCCTGCAGCTGCCGTTCCTTGGGGCTGCCTAAATTACAAGCATGATTAATACGGTATCAAAACGTGTGTAGTCCCTCTCCCTCTAGACACTAATATAAGGCAAGCAGTATTGTGTCACTGGGGCATCAAACACTAAAGGTCTACTAAAGAAGATTCCTATGTATTACTATTATCATATTATTATTTAAAAAACCCTATTGTTATTGTTAAAAAAAAAAAAAAGACACCAACCAACCAACCCACAGCCCTTGCCCCAAGCAGCTTTTGCGCTGTGAGACAGAAAGGTTTGTGTGCTAAAAGCAGAACTTTGCTTTTACACCCCAGGGCCACATCCTTCCACGTCGCAGCCTCAATGTTACATGCAGGTGAAGGAGCTTTTGTATCTGATTTCCTTGTTCCTCATACATGGAAAGGAAGCCGATCAAAACAGAAAGGGACAAGGGTGTGCAGTTGTGGCCCGGAGCACTGCTGGCACAGGAGCAGTGTCTGGGGAGGAAGGGATGGGGGCTTGGTGGCTCTCCCAACCTGAAGGCTTGCATGAGTGTGGATGGAGAAACAGAAAGACTTACTCTATTCCTGGGCTTTTTGACATTCCCAATGTAATTCTCAGTGCTACGGGCCTTTATATGGGATAACTTGTATATATTGCTTAGGAATTTCTTATAAGGGGAGTCCTGAGGCAAGCCAGTATCATCTTCTGGTCTTCTATGAGATGAATTTTTCGCAAGGCCATAGCAGTTGCTATTCAGCCAAGAGGAAGACCTTCTGGTTGAGAAACAAGAAAACCCCACCTCAGTGCTACCATCCGGGTGCCCACCTGGCACCAGCGAGGCGTCTGAACCTGACCCCACGCTTCCTCCTCTAGCCTTGGCAGGACTGAAACCTCAGTGTCTCTTTTAACGCTTTCATTTTGTGTTTCGTAATAATGTTGTTGTGACCCCAATGGTCTGAGGATATAAAGGAAATGAGGCTTGCAGTAGCTCCCTCCTGAGAAAAGAAGGAAGAAATACATCTTTCCTTTCTCTTGGGTAACAGTAAGGAAGGGGAGCGCTTGTATCTGCAGCAATGCTCTGGCTTTTCAGGTAGATTATACAAACTTGTTCTAAAAATTCAATTTAAAATCCTAAAAATCAATTAGAAATGTAAAAATATATCTATTTATCTGTAAAGAGCAATGGCCCCGCAGAATTTGTTTGGATCTATTAAGCAGCATTTGAAACAAAACACATTTTTAGAAAACCTGATCTATCTCATAGTCTGACTAAAGAACTGTAATGGCTTTCTGAGCTGAACAGGATTTGTCCTATTTTTTCAGCGAGTTCCTTGATATTCTTGTTCTAAAAATTATTAATAAGAAAATGAGTCAACAAGGAAATTCACATACAAAATCTGCACTGGAGTAACATTAAAGTCTCTTCCCAAATGTTGGGAAATGCGACTTATGGCTAGTGCTCTGTTCTTATGTCTCAAGGTCACGTTGGGAAAGGCCATCTGCATGGAGCTTGCAGCATCTCCGGCCACATCTCTTGTCACAGATATCTCAGGCAACTTGAGCTCCCTCTTGGCAGGGAGTGTGTCAGGGATTACCCCATCCCACAGGTGGAGTCATCCGTAGAATTTGTGTCCACGTGAGCACGGGCAGCTCGGGAGTTCAAGATAGCCTGCTGGAAATTGGGACCTTCAAGTGCTCTTCAGCTCTCCTGTGTTCACACATAGCAAGGCCTGAAGCTTCTTTCCGCCCTTTGGGGTCTGACAAAAAATAAGAAACCGAACAGGAGGAATAGGGGAGCAAAGACAGCCCAAGAGAGGCTCAGCAAAAGGACAAAGTTGGCCTGCATGTCATTTTAAGAGTCTTTATCTGGGACTGCCTTATGAGCAAAGTAAAACCAATTTATTTCTTTTAACCTGGTGGTTAAGACTTCTGGGGGGAGATCATCACCAGGAGTGTGCAATATAAGCATTGGGAAATCGAGGGACTGAAAGTGAAGGCTTTGCAAGGAGCTTTGCTGATAAAGAACAAAACCTTTAGTTAGAGCAGGCTCTGTTCCCATTCACACAGCCATGAATCATTTCTTTGAAATAAGAGCATTATTTGGAATCAATTCTGGCATAAAGTTAACCCCAAAATCCAGGTCAAGCCTTTTTGCCAGGATGAACAAGAAGTGGTGATTTATGGGATGGCTGTGGTCGAAGGGGTCAGAAGTTCTTTGAAATGATGCTATGGATCAGAATGCAACATTGCTTATCTCTTCCAAACAATTCTTGATGAAATTTGTAGCAGTAAGATACGATCTATGCTGTACAGATATAAAACTTGTTTTCTGTGATTGAGGGACAGAAGTAAAACATTTTAAAGCTACAAGTCAGGAAATCTTTATAGACTTTGGTCTAAAGAGGGGAAGAACAATTCTTCCTATGCAGTCCCTAAAGAGGTAAAGGACTGCAATGTGGCAAACTTACAGTGGACACAGCGGAACTATTTCTCCTCAGGACACACTGGCATTACCTGTGTTAGAGGGTATAACATCAGCTGGGCAAGAGAAAGAACTGGGAAATGCACATTCAAATCAGAGCCAACAGAGCTTCAAATTTAGGACACGATGAAAACTATATTCCACTTATATTGTGCCTTGAAGTACTATTGGCTTTGTCACCTATATTTAAAGACCAGGCAAATTTCTCTGCTGTAATAGGATCACACATCATCACCCTCATCCTTATATGGAGCATTCTGTGCCAGATTTCCAGCAGGTCTCAAAAAGTAGTTGCCAAAAATAATAATAATAATAATAATTAATAATAATAAAAAAGATTGCAAATGCTTATTATCTCTGATTTGGTGAAAATCTTGCTCTACCTGAAGGAATCTAACCTTGCAACACAGCAAGGCCAAATCTGCACAATCTACAGCCATTTTACAGTCAGATTACTCCCCCACTCCTTGATCCCATGTGGAGCCCTGCATGTTAGTCCGAGCGCTACCAAAGGGTGGTTTTACCTCCTGTCTGTAAGCTCACAGATGCACCCACATCTTCCCAAAGGCTAAAACAGTTTGGGTTTCACCTGGCTGCTGCCAAGCAAACAGGAAGAGGAAGCCGCGATTCTCCCTTCAACCCAAACAAATCAATGTTCAACCTCTGAAAGGCCACGCAGAAATTAAGCTGTCACCTAAATATCCTCAGAAGCTGTTGGTACAACATGGGGAGATAGTGGAGAGATGGGGTTTAAAATCAGATACAGCCCTGGCTATTGCAAAAAACACACAGGATTTGAGCTGTAGGTACACAGGAGGCATCAGAGGCACAACACTGTTTGTCCTAGGCTTGGAGACAGATCCCAAAACACACTTTGATCCATTCTCTTGCAAAAAAAAAAAAATCTCTCTATCCATGTAAAAGATCACTTTGTGGCTTTTTTTTGGTCCCAAAAGAAATACTGAGCATCACTTTTCCCCTCACCCTCCCCCAGCTGAATATACTGCTGGAGTTCCTGATAGCAACACGATGATCCTTCCAAGACAAACAGAAACAACAAAATGGGGCAGATTTGGATTGGCACAACTTGTGGGCACACACAGTTAAGAGGCTTCTGAAAGTTCATGAAGAAACAAAGAAGTACCTCTTAATTCAGCTCAAGAGATCCAAACAAGCCAAAGGATGTCCAGAGAACAGGGGTGTGAGATTCTCGCCAGGGCAGAAGAAGAAAGGGAGGATTTTCACCGGGCATAAGTGTGCAAAAGTGTTCAGGCACAATGCAAACTGTAAGAAAAGGGCCTGCTCTGACCAACAGGAATTCAAAAGGATGGAGCTCAGCACTTAGCTTGCAGCAATGCGGGAACTGCAGCGTCTTGCATATTTCCCTTCGGACTGCTGTTGCTGTGACTCCACAACAACCCTGCTGGCCGTAAGAACAGTTTTACACCATGGCAGCCCTATGGAGGGGTTGCCTTTGGTTCGCCATTGCTTCCGAAGCACCTTCAGGGCATGTCAACGGAAGGAGAGAGATAATTGAAGATAATACATGGTTTATGATATAAAACTCCAGCCACACAGTCACTTATTCTCCTTCTCTGCCTTATTTTTATGTTCCCTGGGTTGTCTCAGCTCTTGCATTCAAGCTTGTATTCATGAGTTTTTCATTTTCCTCAGCTGTTGGACAAGGAGAATTTCCAAACCATGCTGGTTCAGAACATTCCCCTAACCTGTCCTACTTGGAGGCCACAACTTCTGTTTATACAAATATTCTAGCCACTGTCCCACTCCTCCAGGGACAGGCACAAAATTTTCATGTATTATTTTGGAACTCTCCCATCTTCCTGACTGTTAATGGTGAACCACAGAGTAATATCGCTCCAGCAATTTTCATGCGACCTAAAATCTAATCTAGAAACTGACACGTGTTCATTCTGCGACTCCAAAATACTGAAAGGTGTAATCACCAGTGCCACGGTATGGCAACTGCCATGTGACACTGCTCAATACCACTTGATGTGACCTCCAAAAGCCCTGGCCGGGTGATTTATTCCTGCCCCACATCTCTAAACATTCAGAAGAAATGCAAATTGCCTATCCTGCACCATGAAAGAATTTCACCTAAGGATCTTAGAAAGAGAGTATGAAAGAAATCCGGACTTCACGGCTCCAGTTCGCTCACCACCGTGACCTCTTCCACTCCCGCAGGCTTGGGTCTGCTCATTGCCCCCCAGAGTAAGCTGCAAGAAAGCATCCGGCAGCTAAGGATGTCCTAGATGGAGGAAACCCTTAGCTGTCCATCTCCTTGAGAAGTTCGACACGAGGACAGCTGGAGCGGGCAGCTGCTGGGACTCGGCCATGGCTTGAGGCTGCGCAGGGCCCTCACTGCCGGGGGGCTGACCAGCCCATGTCACTGAAGGGTCCCTCGCCCGTGGCCGACCTGGGAGGAGGGCCACAGGGTGTGCAGAGGTCAGAATCGGTGTCCGATTCCCCTTCCGCAATGTAGGGTCTGATTTTGGCCACGGCCGCATAGCAACCGTTGTTAAGGATGTCCAAATTCTCTTTGGACTGGGAAATACTAAAGCCGCTGAAAGAGCGCTCCAGTTCCTCGTGGTCTACCGAGGGGATGGAGATGGACGTGTCGCTGTCTCTCAGGGCGCTCTCGTGGTGTTTGGTGGTAATGTCTTCGTTCCGCAGGTACTCTGCGCTCGCCCTGTGCCCGCCGCTGTAGGCTGACAGGGAGCGCTCGTGGGAGGGCGGAGGTGGGATGCGGACGAGCGAGCCGGGGTCTCCGACGGGCGAGGAGCCGTGACTCTGCCGCTGGTAGGGCTGCTGCTGGCACGACGTCGAGGGCGGGCACGAGTTGGTCGGGGCCGGCGGAGCTGAGAAGTTCTTCTGACCCATGGAGCTGGTGGACCTGATGATCTTGATGATGCAGCCGTTCTTGTCGATGTGCTCCCTGCTGTCCTCGGGGCTGTGGTAGGGAGGGGCTGGGTCTGGTTCTTTGGACCCAAAGTAGGCCTCCGTCTCCGTCGGTGGGATACCCATTCTCTGCATGTAAATGTTCACCAGGAAGTCGAGCTTCTTCTCCATCGACTGAACCTGCAAAACACCACATTCCAGCACTACATCCTGTGGATGAGCAGCTTCCAGTCCACCAAGGTACAAACGTGGGCCTGGACTTTACTGCCTACCAACCTACACCAACGCAGAACTTTCAGTACGTATTTACCATATTCTGAAACAATCTTTAATTCTCCTCCTCGTTAGCGTGACTCCTTCATCTCCTGTGATCTCTCTGTCATGCATCAAATTCCAGGAAAGCTGGAGGACACTTAAATCCTTCCCCCATCTCTCACTTCCTTGTTGCATCTGGCCCTTGCCTGGGCTCAGGTGCTCAGTGGGATTTCTGGGTCTCACTCTCTGGGAGGACTTCCATGCTCAGCAAGGCTGGCAGCTGCAGCAGCCAGGCTCATGGGCTCGTCTAACAGAGTGGCACCGTGCCATCTTCAAAAACAGATTTTTGGTAGACTCTTCAAAAAAGAAACAGAAAGCCTGTAAGAAACAGACTTCTAAATGCCTGAATCTGTTCTGAGGCTTTGAAGACATTTCATGGCCTTTCATAAAACCCATTGCTTCTTTTGCAAAACATTGTTTGCTCTTAGTTTTGCTTCCAAATGATCATATCCAATTGGAATGAAACAAACAAACAAACCCAAACCCCAAACAACACCACAATGCAGGTAATACCCATGGACAGGAACCCCTCACACCCCAACGCACCTGTTTTTCAACTTTCCCAAGTCTGCCCATCATGCTGGGGTCTTCAGGCAGCTCCCCCTCGGCTGGGCCTTTGGTCCGATCCTTGTCGGTCATGGAGGATCCTCTCCCAACGATCTGGTCAACTCTACCAGGATCAGAAAATCCCCCCATCCCCGGAAAAGGACTGGAGTCAGTCGGAGGCAGCAGGCGAGGGGGCTTTGCTCATCGCGCCTCTGGGGGATAAAGCAGCAGCCTTTCTCCCCGCTAGCACTCCAAATTACTCACAGACACGCAGTGGCACTGAAGTGTTAATTCAGATGCAAAATTCAGAGCAGTATTAGCAGAGTTTGAAATTATCCGTTTCTGTTTATACAGATAAAATCTGGCACATTATGCACAGTAAATTTACCCGCTGCAAAGAATCGCTGTAGCTGGCTTTCTTCCAAATCAATTAGCTTTTTATTTGCACTGAGGCTGTATTATTTTGGGGGAAGATCAAGTTTTCTGTCTAGCATATGTTGGTGGGATTTTTTTTCAGTCTTTGCAGAAGTCTCTTCTCCTCGATGCAAATGTAGGCGCGTAATTCTCATGTCCATGAAAATGAGCCCCTTGCCCTCAGATCCAAACAAACAGCTGTGGTACTGTTTTAGTGGAATTATGCTGAATTTGGTGATAACGCACCAAGCAATACCAAATTGCCTCCATCTCAGTGCTGCTGCAGCTCTCACCTGTATCATTAGATGTTTTCTATTAGCAGGGCGCCACACTGTCAACATCAGAGGACGTTCTTGCAGCATGTGCAGACTGGGCACACTGTTTGGTGACAAGTTATTTACACACGTTACATTTACACTTCCTCCTTCCCAGTCCAAAAAAAATTGGGTTCATAAACACCTCAGGAAAGAGGAGAGCAGAGCCAATTTGGAAGCTGGAAGTCAATTATCTGATCCCTCCAAAGCCAGGGAAGCAACCCAGTTTTGGAATGGGTTCTTAATGGCAGCCTGGTTCATAATACAATTCTATGCCAGGCAAACTTTACTCTTGCATAATGCACCAAAAGTAAGGGTGGCAAGGGAAAAGAAGGGTTAATTAATCTGACTGAAATCAAGTTGAGGTATCTTGAGTGGAAAACTCAAAATGCTTCTTACGCAGTTCTGCTGTGTGGGCCATGGGTCCATGCACCAGGAGGAGGAAAAGGAAGGAGCTGAACACAGACAGACGGGAAAATGAACAAACAAAAAACAAGGAAAGGAATGAGATGTGAGGCTATTTCCAACACAAGAGCCATCTGTTTTCTTCACACGTGACAGGGACTTAGTATGTATGTTAGCTGTTGACGTAAAGGGACAGATATCAGTGGGAATAGACCAACGCAGCTCCCTTGGGTTATATCAAAGCGACAACAGTTTGCAGCACCAGAAGATCTGGCTCAAAGGGATGAAGTGGGTGAGCACATCACACCAAAGACAGAAAATATAAGCCAACCATTGTTTTGGAGTTTATCTTTGATCCCAGAACATCCTTCATTTGGGCAAGGATGTGACAAAATGCCATTCAATTTAAAAAGTCATGTTTGATCCTTTGCTTAGCAACATAAGCACAGCAGTGCAAGGAGCACCAAGTGCTGTAATTACAAGTGTGAGGAATATGCATGCCTTATTTCTCTCTTGTAATGGGAGAAGCAAATTATTGACATGTGCAGGAACTCCCAACAAGGGATGCAATTACTGACACGACATACAGCACAAGAAATCCTACAACAACGTTGCTACCATGTAAGCAAAGAGGTATTAAATCAGATACCTCGGGCTACCTTGGTTTGGAATCTCAAGTCAAGGCGTAGTACAGCCACTGTATGAACTCCTGTCCTGTATGCACAAGCAAGTAAACTAGTAAAGCAATGAACATGCATTTTTAAGAGGCTCAAAGCCTAATTGCTACTGAATACTGGGGAAGGCCAAGAAAGATCAGGGTACTCTGCCACATCTAGCACAGTGCTAACACCAAAATGTGTGTACTAGTGAAAATGAAATGTCTTTCAACAGTTGGGGAGTAGAGCAGGGAGGCAGGACAGTGACAGAGAGAAAAACCAAACACAGCCATCTTACTGTATACTGTAATAGCAGAGAGTCTCTTGCAACCTTATTTCTAATTTGGCAGAATTTGAGGAAGGACTTCTGCTTTCTTCCACATCTTTAAAAGAAAAGCTATCCAGTAAGTGAGCCTCACAGGACCCAAGGGAAGTACAGGCTGGGTGTACTTCACAGATGGAGTGATCAACCACCCCACACAGAGAAGCTGTGTGGTGGGATACAACTTCCTATAGACCTGCTGTGATTCATAAGCAGAGCTTCACAGAACTCATCCATAAGGCATTCAGAAGCCCTTGCCTGTATATCCTTCATAGCAGAGCCTGACAGAACTCCTGTCAGGATCATTCCGTTCCCAGCTATGCCATGATCCAGCCGTAACATCTTCTGCAGCCCTGAGAAACCAGAGCCTGATGTCACCTTAGTCTCATGGACCTTGGGATGCTGGCAGCTGTGGAACACTGGCTTCAGTGCGGAAAAAGGTGAAGTGAGCCCTGGTGCCTGGTAGGAGAAACCAGGCTCAAGATCACTCATTCCTTTGCTCCTCATGGCAGAAGCCAGAAACCTGTGGTGAGTGCTCCTACCCTCAGCAAAACGTGGAACTTTCCTTCCGCCTTGTCTGATAAAAGAGGAATTTCCTCTTGAGAACCCAACGGTGCTAAGGCAAGCTCATCTGAGCACTGCAAAGGCACAGTCATCAGCAAAGGGCAGGTGGCCCTTTTAGCCACTCTGAAAGAGTTTGTCTTATCCAAACCGGGCAACAAAGCTCAAAAGTCCAAGAACGGATACATTTCACCTTTGCAAGCGGTGAGGAATAGCGTATATTCTTATGGCATGACAAGGGACCACGTATCTTCCCAGAGATGCCAAACCCCCTTCTGCACTACGTCTCACGGACAACCTTGTGCATTCCCAACATTATCTTGGCTGTGCTGAAGACACGTGTGCAGAGGGAAGCCCTCAGCTGGGGCTTCAGAAGAGGCAGACCCACGCTCTTCCCTTCACAGCAGAAGATGATTCCAAGATTTCTAGCGATGCATGACAAGCTGTGCCATCTGCTGCCTGTGACACGCTCTGCTGGGTCTTAGTTTGGGAGGGGGAGAGAAGGGCGGTTGCTCTTTGAAGTGAACTTTGATATCTTTCCTTCTTTCTCATGATATAAAAAAAATGTAAATTCTTGCATCAGCCACAGTGCAGGTTTTCTCATGCTTCATTACGCTTCCATGCTGACAGTACATGCAAAGAGGTGTAATATGTCACCCTCGGGCCAGAAGCAGACATCAAAAGGTCAAACGGCTCAAATGAGATAAAAATGAAGTGTTTGGGAATATATATTCAATTACTTTCTGTTTTCTTTATCTGTTTTAATTATGTTTTTTTAACACAATCCAGGCATTGCAGCCAAACCCCCTTCATCCATGTCACGTGACTGCTCCTTACCTCCCCATTTTTCAATCAAGTTCGCTCTAGACGTATTTTGACCAATATTCTGTTGCCTATGAATTCCAACTGAATTGCAACTATTTCAAAACAGGTCTACCTTAAATCAGCCACTGGGAGGAATGAAACCCAATTCTCTGCGTGGGCAACATTTGGCTAAAATAGGAATGTGCTGAAAAGGAAGAGCAACAGCTAAGCCTGACCCAGAGTTTGGACCTCCTCGCCTTGCGCCCATCCTACGTGCAGAACATTCGTTTCCATGTGGAAATCTTGCCCAGCCCTTCAAGGCTGGTTGCATCTAAAAGGTTAATGGAGCAAAATCCAGTTGAATCCCTATTTTTTGATTTCATATCAAAACATTGGTCCAGATAAAAGATTCATTTTGTTTTTAAAGATTAGTTTGGGCCTCATCATTTGAGGGAGGGAGAATTGGGGGAAAAATGCTTTACTGAAAGCATCTTTTTTTTTTTTTTTTTTTTTTTTTTTCCCAAGCATGAATTTTGGGGCTCCTGGAAAATTCTCTACTTATTTTACTTTATTTTTGAACCTGCTGAGTGGGAAAGGTAAGCTTTCAGTATTCTCTTTACTCACATCCTGCTGGTGAAGATTACTCAGAGCAGCTTAAATAAAATTCAAGAGATTTGTCATGTATTAGCACTTCGGGAGGGCAAGTATATTTAGAAAAAAATACCTGAGGCTAAGCTCACTGTGCTTGAAAATCACCTACTGTTTGCACATGGAAAGTGGCTTTCTAGTAAATATTTCCACCTGCCTTGGGCTCTAGAAGTCTCAATGGTGAAAATGCAGCTATCTGCTGCCCAGACATGAGAATGCCCCAAAATGAGTGGCTTGGTGGAAAGATGGTCCTCACGGCATCAGCTATGAGCATAGCTCTAACTAATGTGAGAACTTCATAAGGGCAACAAAAAAGTGTTTCACTGAGTGGCTATAGGCTGGATTGGGCTCTTTTTGCAGACCAGACCAGGACCTTTTTCTGAATATGAGTCTTATGGTGGTAACACTGCAACAGAACTTCTACCTCCATGGTCAATAGAGCTGCATCAGCAAAAAGAGATTGCTCAGCATGAAACACTTCATTCTTAATTTGCCCACTAAGATCAACTCATTTCACAGTCCAAATGGCCACAAACAAAGGATTCTCCCCTTGATCTTTCAGAAAGTAGATGGTTTGGGTTGCACTGGCTTTGTGGGTAAATATTCCACCTGTTACATTTGAAGACAGTCTGATAAAAAATGAGATTTTAAAAAGCTAAATGTCAGCACCAACTTGGAGAGTCATCATAGAATCACGGAATGGCCAAGGTTGGAAGGGACCTCAAGGATCATGAATCTCCAACCCCCTGCCACATGCAGGGCCACCAACCTCCGCATTTTATACTAGACCAGGCTGCCCAGGGCCCCATCCAACCTGGCCTTGAACACCTCCAGGGACGGGGCATCCACAGCCTTATCTGGGCAGCTGTGCCAGCATCTCACCACTCCCACAGTAAAGAACTTCCCCCTGACATCCAACCTAAATCTTCCCTCCTTCAACTTAAAACCACTTGCCCTTTGTCCTCCCATTATCTACTTGTAAAGCATTGACTCCCTGCCTGTTTGTAGGCTTCCTCTAGGTACTGGAAAGCTGCAATGCGGTCACCCCCACAGCCTTCTTTCTCCGGGCTGAACAAGCCCAGCTCCCTTAGCCTGTCTTCATAGGGGAGGTTCTCCAGCCCTCTGATTATCTTTGTGGCCCTCCTCTGGACTGTCTCTAACAGCTCCTTGTCTTTCTTGTACTGGGAGAAGACTGACAACAGACCAGCTGAAGAAACTGATGGTTACCAATGATGGTAGGTATGTCCTTTTTTTTTTCCTTTGGCTTGCCTAGTGTGAAAGCTCATTACTGCAAGTAAATCAGATCATACTCAGAGTAGCAAGCCGTTCTGAGTCACGATTTAGCAAGCTGCTAAGTGATAAATGCCGTCATATAACTGGCATGAAAGGGGTTTGACATTAAGCAAATGAAAAATCCAGAGAAAGCGGCATTTTGGTGAATCCTAACCTAGGCGAGTATTGGGGAGATTCTTTGGAAGAATACATGGGTCCTTTGGTTGGATACTTCTTATGCCGGGGAGTTGAAGGGGGCGGGGGACCCACAATCATATCTATCCTGGCAAAGTAAATAAGAGAAAAGACACCAGCAAAATGCATAATGAAGCAACACGTAGAGAAAAGTTGGTCAGAAAGTTGCAGAAAGAAACAACTGAAAAACAGAACGACAGAAAGAGAGAGAAATTGAAAATATATTCCGCTAGAAACAGAAGTTGTTCTCCTACCGCCTGGTTGTCGGTGAAACATTACCCTCCCTGGGGTAAGACTTGGAGATTTTTGGCACCACTGCTGTTTAGGAGAATAACCCCCTCCCACCCCAGATTTAACAGATAACATGCTTTACCCTCTGGAATATATTTGCAGCACTATTCCATCGAGACGGTTGGACATGAAACAACATACATTCATTCTCCTTTCAGTTACACTGCCAGGTGATGCACCCTCAGCTAGCTCAGAAATACACCAGCTGTTGGAGTCGGTGAGATACACTGTGGGACTGTGGAACTGAATGAATGGGGGACATCCGTGGTTGGCAAGAGATGAGACACGAGACAGCATGAACACAACATTGAAAAGAGCACATTACAGACACGACACAGTGACAGAGACATTTGTGATTAAAGAGGAAAGTGCAGGTAAACCCCCCAGAGAAGTGCCTGAATGTGCTTTAATCCCCAGCCCTGGCTGTGGGACAACACAGACAGACCCATGGAGCTGAGCAGGCAGGTGAGCACTGCAGTTTGCAGGACAGGAGAACAAAAATAAAAGTTCTCCAAGCCGACCCAGGACAGCCTCGCTGGGCTCCACCTATGGGTGCACTGCATTCCTAGATCCAGCTCACGTCCCAGCATTGGCCATGGCCACCAAGGCACATGCCCTGGCTACAGGGTGTCCCTTCCAGTTGGACTGGGCAGGTCATAATAGGGCATCTCTTGGTGTCCTAAGGGGCTACGCTGCCACCTCTATCGCTGTTCTAGTTGGTGGGAACAGGGAAACCAGTGAAGCTACTCATCAGCTCTAGATCCCAAATCCAGATTCTTCACATGCGACTTTAAAGAAGATTCTGGTCCTCCTGACTTCCCTGAAGTGCAATGGATGGCAGTCCTAGGCACTGCAGCCTCACTGTCCCACTAGTGAAGTTAAGGGACAATTCAGTTTCATCTTTAAATGCTTCAGTTCCTTATCTCCCTAAAAAACAACAACTTTGTCTTGGCAGCACATTGGGGAATGCCAATAGGACTGATGGGGACAGATGGCATTGTTCTGGGGGCTGAGCACTCAGGTGTCCCACTTGGAGCCAGTAGAGATGCCAACCCAATGGCTCACTCCCCACTGCAGAGGCAGCCCGGAGGCTTCATGTTCCAGCTTATTCAGATTGGGAAATATCAATCCCTTCCTCCTCTTCTTCCCCCTCCAGATTCAGCTGTGCATCTCAGATTCATAATCACTGAATTTGTACTGAGTGGGGGTGAGAGGCTCAGAGAGAGGAAATTCTCTGGGATATTTTAATTTTCATTGCAAGGGAGAATTTACCTTCTGACAGTAGAGCTGGAAATAGGAAATGCACAGCATGCAGCAACACTGAGAAAGTTAGCTCCACTGCGTGAGCATCAGAAATAGCAGAGTTAAAGGGTCTTTGAGAGATTAGGATGAGAGAGATTCCTCTTTTACATAAGACAAATTTCCTATTCTATTCCTGCATGCATATCTGAAAACTTTTTTTTTTTTTTTTTTTTTTTTGCAGATTTTCATAACCAAAATAGGCTGGAAATTAAAGGAAAAATTTCCCCAAGTGGCTTCCAGCAGAAGCTGGGCTGCTGCAGTCAACAAGGGAAACACTTTCATTATATAATTGTTAAAGTAAATGGTAAATGACTCTGACCACAGACAGCCCAGTGCCAAACCCTGCTTCCTGCTCTGGGTGTCCTTGTGATCAGCAGAGCTGTGACCACTTCTGCTGAACCAACAGAGCTGCCTTGGATAGGGGTCTGATCATCGGCATGGAGCACAGGGGGCCTTGGAAGGCGCAAATGGATGAAACTCCTAAAGAAATACTTGCAGGGAGGTGAGCTGTAGATGTCATGGGTTCTGTGTGTGGGGAAAGAGAGAAATCCAGTTCAGAACTGTCAAAGCTGTCCTGAGGTGGGCAAGAGGCAGATTTAATGGCATAACCCCAGTGCTTGCTCTGCCTGTGCTCAGTCCTGCTCATCCCCATGGGTCCCAGCCACATGCAGCAATGCTTCCTCTGAACTTTCTCTTAAGGAGGAAAAAGATTAAGGTGTAGCTGCAAGGGAAAGTGTCTCTCGTGGCAACATCTGTGTGATGAACAAAAAAGCAGGGGCAAAGTGAAGCAAGCAGAGGGGTCTCTTGCCTGGATTGGAGGTTTTTAATCCGGGAGAGCATGTCCAGGTGGCCAGCTGAGTACTGCTCGATGACGTCCATCACATCGTAGGGCCGAAGGCTCTCCTTAAACTTGCGTTTGGAGACGAGAAATCGCATAATGCTGCAAGAGAGGGAAGGAAAAATAAAGTCCCTGACTCACCTGGTGGCATCTAAAACCCATTGGGAGCTGGAAGGGAACCAGAGCAGATCCACACCCTGTGCCCAACATGGCAATAGGAGAAGGGAAGGGGCTGGTGGGGGCTGAAGTCCTGTGAGCACCAGGGGACACCGATGACCTCCGGACTATCAGCTGGGCACGTCTCCGCTCCACACTGCTTTTATAAATGTCAGCATTGAATCTCAGAGCGCAATTGCTTGGATGCATCCCTGCAGGGGATTTTCCTGTTTCTGCATTTTTAACTTCCCTCAGCAAAAATTCCCTTTCTGGCAGAATTTTCCGTGAAAGAGGGCAGGCCACCCAGGGGAAAAGCAGCCTGCAACACAGGCATTTCAGCATTTGCTTGGACTTCGTATTTCATTTTATTCTATCGCTTATGTTTCCAAACCTCTTTCCCCTTCTCCCTCTCTTACCACACTGCCCTGATGCTGACTTTCAGTCCTGGTGTTAAATCTTCTGTCACAAACTCACAGTTGCAGCTTTTATTCTCATCAGGAATGTCTTCTCCAGGCAGGCTTGCTTCTGAGTTTGGAAAAGCAGGAATAAAAAGCAGTGTGTTAGCATTCTCCAGTCGGGCCAGGCAGGGAAAAGACCACTAAAATCAAGTCCAACTGTTTACCTATTTCTACCATGTCCCCAGGTGCTACATCTCCAAATTTCCTAAGCATTTCCAGGAATGGTGACCCCACAACCTTTCTATGCAGCTGTGCCACTGCATCACCGCTCTTTTGGAGAAGAAATTTTTTCCAACACCCAACCTGGCCCTCCCCTGGTGCAACTTAAGTCCATCACCTCTAGTTCTGTTGCTGTTACCTGGGAGCAGAGGCCGAGCCCCAACCTCCTTTCAGTCACTGTAGGGAGTTGTGAGGTATCCCTGAGCGTCCTCTGCTCCAGACTGAACCATCCCAGTTCTCTCAGCCCATCGATCCAGCCTGTCCAGATCCCTCTGTATGACCTCCCTACCCTCATGCAGATCAACATTTCCTCTAGACTCAGTGTCATCTGCAAACCTACTGAGGGTGCACTCAATCCCCTCATTCAAATCATCCATAGAGATTAACTAAACATACCTGGCCCCAACAATAACCTCTGGGGAACACCACTAGCATCAGGTCACCAGCTGGACTTAACTCTGTTTGCCACCAAATAGGTCTGTTTAACAGGATTGCTTAACGTGGGGTGGTGAGGGAGAGGGATGGGGTTTTGGGATCCCACAGAGCACCCCAAGGCCACACCTTCGGAGTTCTGCCGCGATGCAGCTCCCTTGATGCGGAAAGCCTGCCGGGCTCTGCTGCGGTCTCCGAAGCTCCAGCTCTTGGGCACCTTGCTGGGACTGTCCTCGATGCTCTGGTCAGCACTGGGGGACCTCCGGATGCCCTGAGCCTGTGGAGAGCCTTTCCCTTTGGTGCCAGCACCGCGGGGACTGGAGAAGACACGATCTTTCAAACTGACCTTCTGACTGTTCAGAGAAACACGTTGAAACAAAGACAAAAAGGAGACAGCAGGAGGAGTCATTCTGGAAACCACGCAGTCCTTCCCCACCAGCCATTTAGAAACCAAGAGCACTTCCAAGCAGCAGTGAGATGTAGTTTTGCTGTTGGCTTTTTAAAAAAATATATATTCATTTTGTTATTGCTTTTTTTTTTTAAAAAAAAATAAAGCGTAGTAGAAATGTTTCCGCCGTAATGAGTGAAATGGGAATGATTTTTAAGAGAGAAAAAATAATATGGACTTAAACAGAAGCCCCTCGTGGGATGCCAGGGCTGGCGGGACAGAATGACGTTAACGATGAGGTCATGAGTCCTTAAATCACTGATCGGCTCCGATCATGAGCGAGGAAGCTTTTCTTTCACAACTGCCTTTCGAAGCCCTACATCCAGTAAGAGAATACCAAGAAAAAAGCCTTGGCCTTCAGTGTTTAGCTTCACTTGGAAACACTTCATTCCTGGTGCTCAGACCTGCCCCTCTTTCACTAGACTGTCATTCCCCCTCCTAAAACAGAAGGTATCCCTTATATATCTTACAGAGAGTTCATCTTTGCCCAGTCACATATGTAAATACTGAAACATGCAAGTCCTTTATATCCTATGAAGATTTAATCTACAAGCTAACTATGACCTAGCTACAGGTCGGCTACAGGCACCATCACCAGGAAAACATACAACCTCAGAATACGGCACTTAACCGCTGTTTTTCTATCAGAGTCCTATTCTGTTAGCAAAGCAAAAAGATCACTCTGGGAAGAAGAGATGATCTCACCGAGAAGCAGTCTGCTGAGCCAGCTTTCATTATTTTACACATTCCGAGATCGGTAATTAAAAGCTTCCATCCAAACAAAGAGGACAAAATTCTCACATCAAGATTCCAAACCAAAAAGCGAGGATGAATCCTTACGAAAAGGCTTAGAGACAACCTTGGGGGAGCCAAACTGCAAACAGTTTGGGATGATTTGATATTCTCTGAATAGCAATTGCTTATTCAAGTATACAAATAGAGGTCAGACAACCAGTGCAAGGCATTTGTGCATGGAGCTCATATTTCATAAAGAAGCAGTGCAAAACTGAATAAAACCAAGGATAGCTTTTCCAATACTCTGTACCATTGCAGCAGCCACTTATTGTGCTGCAAACACTCGGCCTCCATTTGCAGGCAGAACACTGCTAGAATTTTGATTTTCACACTGGGTTTCTAGAGCACCAACCAAAGGTCTGTTTTTCTCCTGTCTCTCCACAGCTCCACCTTGAAATTCAGAAGCAAACAGCCCTACTTGCCTTCACACCTAGCATAAGGTCCTGTAACCAGAGGTTCTTTAACCAGAACTTGGCTGCTGATGTTTGAAGCAAAGCAAATCCCAGCTCCCTCTCCATCTGCAGCATGAGACACGTGGCTTTGTCAGAAAAGGAAGAAGATGTGACTTCAAGACACGCAGGGAGCAGATTTGTTGAATAAGAAGGTGCTATTTTTACAAAGTCACTCCACACTGTGAGGCATGGAACAGAGACCTGGGCAGAAAGGTGCTTGTGCAGCAGTGCCCTGTGCAGGATGGGGCTGCAATCTCAGGTCGGGAGACGCAAACAAAACACGTTCACGTCAAGTTTCAAGTAGAAAAGGCAGAATTAACTCAATTAATGATTCATTTTTAATTCTGTGAAACTGCATAGACAGGTACAGGGGAATTCATATCCAGCATGTGGCGCACCTGCAAAGTGCACCTAAAAGCCAGGGGCCCACAGATGCTGAGTGCAGCTGAAAATCAGAGCGGAGCTAGGACCCCTCTGGGAACAAAACATGTGCCCCAACACCTTTCTGTTTGTAAGCCTAGATTCCTGACGCTACTGATATCATCGCACACAGCCAGATGTCAAAACGCAGTTCTGTGTTTCGTGCATGAGAAGCCAGATTGAAATTCTATTTGCCATTTGATCCTAAAAAGGCCAATTGGATTTTTGTTTCTATATCATGGTTGATTTTATGGAGGAACGTCCCTGGGATCTACTGTGTTTCTTCAGTAGCACCAATGCTTCGACCTATGCGGTCCTTTTTAAAAGAAGTTTTACACAAATGAGTCAGCAAAGCACCAGCATTCAGCACTCAAAGCGCCTCACTGAGCCGAGCAGGGCCTTTGCTTGGGGGCTCCTCTTCTATACCCATGAAACAACACGAATGATTCACTGAAGTCCTCCTTCTGCCATGCAGTTCCGTGACTGGGAACAACCCCTGCAATCTCCATGCAATCACAGTCTCTGCAGAGCAATGAGAAAGAGCCCAGGAGAAACACACCCACACAGGGAGCTGCGAGCTGCCAGCCAGCCCGACATCATCATCTTCAACCTGAAAGTCACGCACGGTGACACAGCGTCCCAGAGAAGTGCTATTCAGGTGGAACTCAGGCAGATGGCAAATAGCTTCAGTTCAGTGGCCAACATGACATGAACACGGGAAAAGCAGGAATCCAGCCCTACACAACATGAACCAGAGCTTGTAGGGATGACAGCTAAGAGCAGTGTGAGCACACAGCACTGCTTGTTGCACGGGGAAGGGAGAAAATTATGGCTTTCTGATGAGGGATTCTGGAAAGTCATAACAGCAGCACAAGCTGTGCTTTAATTCTTGGATCTTCACAGTAACTTTAGGTTGGCATTCATTAAAAGCGCATTCAGTCACCAAAAAAAAAAAAAAAAAAAAAAAAAAAGTTCCTTTCTACCTTCAGGGAAGATTTGCAAGACTTTCAGCTTTTGGCTTGACTTGAACAAAATATACAAACGGAATTGACTTTTTCTCTGCTGCCAGACAGAAAAATGAGAGCCCATGCTGGATGAACATGTAAGGACCCACCTCAGAGGCAGGACCCACCGCAGCCCCAGCAGCCAACAGGAGGATGCTCACTGTTTTGGCAGGCTTTGCATTTAGGCTCAGTTGCATCCAACGCCCTCAGCAAGAAAATGCGTGAGAAGTGACCTTCAGATGAATTGCCATCCATCCTCCATAGGATGCTGGGGGCAGGAGCTCCTGCCCAAAACCCTCTGCTAAGGGGTTCAATCCACAGTATTCTATGGTATTAAATCAGTAGCTTTCAAAACGTGCATTGTAACAATAGCAGTAATTTTGGATCAATGTAAATAATCACCTATAGCTTCTCGCTGTTGACTTTAAGTTATCCCTGAGCAATTGTTTCATTCTCTTATTCCATTCTGTAGGCAGCAAACACTAGCCAAGCTGAGTTAGGCTGCCATGGGCTCAAATCCATCACTGCATACAAGCTCAACCAGTAACAGGGCTCATTCTCCTGAAAACGCTATGGCCAGGAGAAAGAGGCCATTTCTTGCTGGGAAATGAGTCTGTTTGTCAACCCACAGCTTGTGCTGAGCTCATGGTGTCTGAAAAGAGCTTGTTAAAAGCAGGCAGCAGAGCCCAGAGTGAATGATGGCCTTTGTGGATCACTGGGGACTCCAGCAAAGAACACGTCTGTGTGTGCAATGCTCTCCATGGCTTGAGCAGAAATATCAGAGGAGCAGGCTGATTCATACCCAGTGATTTCAGAAAAGCCATGGCAAAGGTGAATTCAGCCCCAAGAATGGAATTTCTAGAAGCAGAGCACAAAGAAAACAAACAAACCAAAAAAACTAATCAGCTCATGACCAATGCCTTGATGAGTAATAGAACAGAATAGAATCATTAAGGTTGGAAAAGACCTCTAAGGTCACTAAGTCCAACCATCCGCTTACCACCAATATTGCCCACTAAACCATTGCTAAGATGTTGCTAAGTTCAACATCTACCCTTTCCTTAGGGGCCTCCAAGGACAGTGACTCCGCCACTTCCTGCCTCTCTTTCTGAGAAGAAATTCTTCCTAATAGCCAATTTAAACACCCTCTGGCACAACTTGAGGCCATTCCCTCTTGTCCTATCAAAAATAGGACTTAACCTCTCTTCTCTTCCTCATACAAAACCACAGTGTTAGACTCGGGTTGCAGGAGGTCACTGAAATGACAGCTGGAAAGGCTGGAACCACCACAAAGGGACATCAGCTCCAGCCACATGCCATTAACCTTGGTCTTTGGTATTCTGCAGCATCTGCTATACTGTCACCCCTCTCTTTCTAAAACAAGAAGGGTTTTTTCCCAAACTGATGCTGAGCACTGGCAAAAGTCAAACTGCTCGCGTCCTGTGCCTTCCAACAATTTGCCAGCTCAGCTGCTTTGCATTTCAGGAGCAGCACAAAACAGCTAGATTGCATCTTTGAACCTGGCTGATTACTTCTTATATAAGACTTTAAAAAAAAACACTGCACCAGACCCGCAATCCAGTCAAAGGCTCTGCAGATTCCTTCCCTTCCCATCATTGCATTTATTGACTAAAATCATTGGTTCAGCACATTACAATGCCCTGGCTCCTGAGGAGCTTCCTATTAATTTACCTACACCGAATTTCCCATGACTGCATCACTGTTCACTGTTATTTTGTTATATGTATCTCAGGTTAAGCTCCTCAGCACTCAGCCTTAGATGCACTGAAGTGCTGTGCTGGTGCCTGCCCCTAGCAGTGTGCAGCCCTAAGGCTGAGCAATCCAGACATGAACATTATTTTCACATCCCTCCAGGGTTAACATATAGTCGTAGTAAAGCACAGAGTGCACAACGTTGTACTCAGGATGGACGCAGGCAGTAAAGATGCCCTTGAGGCTACTCCAAAATTCAAGTATCCTTTGGGACTGGAAGAAGCACGTCTGTAATCCCCCTCTGCAGGGTGTCCAATGGATTGAGAAGATCCTAAGGCAACAATTTGTTTCATCCTCCCTTACCCTCACAGAACTCAAGATGGGGGAGATGAAATGAGGACCACAGCAGAAAAGAATTCAGTAGAAAATGGAGAAAAAAAACATATACTGGCTTTACCAATTCAAAATTCATGCCTAGAAAGACTTGCAAGGAAGTTATGAAGATCAGAGTGGCTGATTTT